GTCTCAGAAATCTCAGGAAGTTCAACAGGGCAAGTGCAGAGTTCTGTATGAAAGAACAACCCCATGCGTCGGTATATGCTGTGGGCCACCCATCTGGAAAGCAGCTTGGTAGAAAAGGACCTGGTGGCCCTGGGGGATACCAAACTTGAATGTGAGCTGGCAGTGGGCCCTTGTAGCAGAGAAGGGGAATGACATCCTGTGCTGCATTAGGCAAAGTATTGCCAGGAGGGAACACCAGTGAGGCCGCACCTTGAATCCTGTGTCCATTTCTGGGATTCAGCACAAGAGAGACTAGGACATGTTGGAAAGAGTCCAGGAAAAGGCCCACAAAGATGCTGAAGGAACTGCAGCAGTTCTCCTGTGAGGGAAAGCTGGGACTGTTCAGCTTGGAGAAGAGAAGGCTGAGGGGATTGTCATAATGTATTTAAATACCTGAAGGAAGGATACAGAGAGAACAGAACCAGGCCTTTTTCAGTGGTGCCTAGTGCCAGGACCAGAGGCAATGTGCACAAAACAAAATACAGGAAGTTCCCTCTGAACATCAGGAAATACTTTTTTATTGTGAGGCACAAATCCTAAACATAGCCCCATACTAGGCACTGTGAAGAAGATTAACTCCAGCCCAAACCAGCACAGATGGAAAACAAGGCTTATAGGGAACCTTTTATGTGCTTTCTCTCTATATAATATATACCTTTTATGTACTGTATATCTTATTTGGGAATAGACTTCATTGTCCTGAAAATGCATTATTGCTTTGATGGTAATTACCACAGACAGTTTATCAAGTTTCTTAGCACATGACTTACTTCACAGATACCATAATGGGGAAAATAAAATATCTTGCAATCTTTAGTTATCTGGCAAAATAAGTAGCATTGTATCAAAATGCTGTATTTTCTTTATATTATTGACATGCAAAAAAATAAATTTTCTACTTTCAATTGAGTTTTAGCAAAAAAGGCTCAACACATCTCTGCTAGAAAAAGGGCAATAGCTAATAATGAAAAAAAGACACAACCCAAGTGTTCTACAGAAGAGAATTTAGTATTTACTTCTTAATTGCACTTAGTTCTCTGTCTTTTTTGGGTAATCCTGTCAGTGTGGCTACCAGAAAGTAACTAACAAGGATTCTGCTATATTCTATCTAATAGTTTTAACACAAGTTCTCATCTAACCTTTATTTTTTGTTAAATAATGTTCATTTACAAACCTGCCTTGTATACCTATTTAAGCTAGACAAACACGTGGGTTTGGACCTGAAGAACAATATTTTGCCAAGTGGGCACCAATACTTCATTAATTGCTGTTGATCAGCAATTTCTGCCTCCTAGTCAGCTTCTTTCTGACCAAGTATTCTCCCAGCTATTTGGTTTTTTTCACTTTGGAAGTCCATATTTCCTTTCCTGTATCAAAGACTCTGCTGCAGTTTCCTTGCTGTTCAGAAAAGGTTTATAATTGCTGCTTGAATATTTTGATTTTTGACAAGGGAAATAAAAGCTACCAACAGAATTATGAAATTAATCTTGCTATTCTAATAACAAATATGGAGTGGTGATGGCTAGCACCTTCTGTTTTGAGAGCTTGTTCTCAGGATGTGGACCTACTTTTGCTGATGTTTTAATACAGCTTGGCCAAGTGTAAGCGTTCAGGCTAGAGTTTTCCTGGCCAGGTACCTACCTAAAAGTGCACTTTTTTTTTTTTTTTAAAAGCTGTACTGAAGCTTGTTTGATTCTGTGATGTAGAATTGGGCTAGGCAGGGAGATCTTCGTAACTCTTTGATGCCTCAGTGTTTCGGAATGGAGACTTTGCAAAGGAGAAACAGATTTTTCTTGTTACGCTGTTCGGGAATTACAGTTCTGAGTGTACACAATAGTGTCAAATGGTGATACCATGAAAACAGCTTTAGTGTTACTCTTATATCCAGCTTGCAAAGTATCAGGGCAAAACAGGCATCTGCTTTGAGAAAAGGTGCTTGGACTTAGTGAAAGGAGTTTTGTGTACCAGACAGCAATGTGGGCAAGGCCAGTTTTTGCTGTGGCCTTTGCTCTGGGATGAGTTCAGCAAGACTGCGAGACAGTGTGGCCCCTCACCCCTACACCCTGAAAATCAGATTGTCATGGAATTTAGAAATTACTGTGGAGAAAGAAAGCTCACTGCAGTCAGACTTACCTGGAAGGTTTAATATCATAGCGATATTTTACAATATATGGCACTTGTTTCAATGCTAACTAATCAGAAAAATTAGTATTTCCTGTTGTGTCAGTAGAAATGAGTAGATGTTATTCAAAGATTTGAGTCAAAGGTGTTTTAAAAAAATACTTCTCTCATGCACTGTAATGCAGTATTTGTGAATGAAGAATTGTCTCATTCTTGAGGTTATTTGGTTAGGATGTGGAAGATGAGGGCAAGTTAAGTATACACTGAGGTGTAAAACGTCTTGAGTCGAAGAAACTTTGTTTGGGGGGAGGAAGCAGAGAGCATGAAGAAATAGTGATACACATTCAGAAGTTTTAAGTGCTGGTAGGTAGAGACAAAACACATTAGATAAAGTCCAGCATGTGACCTTCTGTAATTGATTGAAACATATATCTACAGAACCTGGAGTAGAACAATTGAGTGCGGCATGTGTTACATGTAACCTGGCCCTGGCTGGGGTAGTGACAGTGCAGTGAGGGAGGTATCTGAACTGGAAGATAAGCACTGGTGAACGTGTTCCTAGAAAATAGAAATTAAACCAGCTGTGATGGGGAAGTACTGTTCTGATCAGCTAAAGAAATAGGTGTGGTATAAATAAAATACATTCTTTTTGAATAAACGTTTATGGTAGAAGAGGTAATATAATAGCATATGGCAGAGTACATTTTGAAGCTACTCGTAACTTCTCAAATTAGAGAATTATGTTTATTTTGAAAGTAAATTTTGTATTTTGGTCTTTACCTATGAAGAGAGCCGGAAATCCTTGAACTCGAAGGGATATTAGAATTTAATTTGTGGAAGAGAGGAATTGATCCACAAACAAAACTGGCTAGGTTGCCAGGTCAATGAGTTAGCTTCTCTGTCTGCCATCCTGCAGTATTTGTTTGTATGTTCTTTACCCATAAAACATACACAGTAATTTGTATAAATTCACCTTTTCCTCTCTGTTGAGGGATTAAGCTAAAGTGAATTATTATCTTTGTAGTGTTGAAGAACACACATGTGGTTTGCTACCATAGCTTAGCTGACATACTGTTGCTCAAATAAATTGATCGTGTGCCTAAATCTTTTGGAGTCTTATTTATTGGGATTAAGTTGACATGCTTGGTGTGGTGCTGTATGAAGATTTATTACTTAAGGTAGAGATTAGTGAAAGAATTTTTCAGAAGGAGCTGGTAGAGGTGATTAGTAGAATTAGAAGAATGAATATCCAAGAGTGATGAGGAACCAATCGCCAAACTCTTGTAAGTTAAGTTGGTGCAAAGATACTTTTATGTAAATTAATTACATGAAAATCTCTGCTTATCTCAATGTTAAAAGGTTTTCAGTGAGACCATGGGCAGAAAAGTGTCACATTTAGAGAGATATCACTATGAATTTCTTCTGTAGCATAGTGTAACACGACTTCTAGAAAGGAAGAGGCAATCAATTCTAGAATACTTTTCTTGCAGTCTTGCAAACTCGATCACTAGCTCTGCATGATGTTGCAGAAGCGAGGGGAACAGGTTTGCTAAAATAAACATGGTCATAGAACTGTATTAGCCTTAGAAATAAAATTATTTTGGCTGTTAATTCTATGCCATGATAAGGAATTTTCATGCACAAGAAATGAAACTGTACCATAATCTTTTTAATAGTTCTGCTAGTAATGATTGTAATTTCTTCACAATATTAAATACTGGACACTATCAGGTAGCTTTAATCATACATGTTCTGAGAACAATAGCATTTTCTTTAGTAAACTGACTTGTACTGTTACTTTGTAGTGTGCTGTGAGTGTTGTATCTTACTTTGTATTGGTAACTTAAGCATGGTTTCATGAAACTTGGAAGAGCCAAGCTAATGTTTCTGCACAGGTCTTTCTCCTGCCTCACATTTTTCCCCCTTATTTCCATATAAATTTCATTTACATGGGTTCTGGCACTCTGCAGACTTATTTCATAAGCTCCAATCACAATGCACAGTTGTACATCAATATAGGGCAGCATAATGCAGAGTTACACAACAGTACAGGACAATAACACTGGTTCTGTTTAAGTAATCGAACCTTTAAAGCCATCATGTTTTATTTCTGCTGTTCATATTTGCTCATTCTTAGTAAATAGCTGCATATTGGTGTTCTACTTGCAAATTTTAGGGAGGCAGATTAATCTCAGTGTGTGCCTGGAAAACTGTCAGAACTGTAGTAGCAATCTTCTTGCTAGATAGGACTGTGTTCTTTTCGTGCTTCTTGTTGTGTCTGTGGACTTCTGTGCACACAAGTGGGGCCAGGTTTTATAATTCTATATTTTCTATCATTTATATTAGGTATATAATTCTAAATAGGGGAGAAGTCAGAGGTGTGTGTTTAAGCAAATGTAACAGTTATGAGCTAATTTTCATGGAAGTCTTTAAAATCTCGTTATTGACTGTGATGAACATGCCAGAACAGGTCAGTAATAAGCTCTCAGAGAAAAGTAGCGTTTCTCTTAACTTGACAAGTGTGTCAGTTTTATTGAAGAACTTCTAAAGCATTTTAGAACTTGCCAGTCCTGAAAAGGTAACAGTTTAAGCCTAGTGCTTTGTTTTGAATGAAAGACTTGTGTCCCACTGCTTAGAAAAAAAGCAAGACAAAGGCTCCTCTTGCTAAGGAAGTCATCACCTGTATGATGGTGTGTCCATCCACAGAGATGCAGCTTTTCTCATGGGAGTAGAAGAGAGATAATAAAGCCATTAAAATGTATGCACAGACAGACAGCTGCCCCAGGTCTGTTTGTAGAACAGACAGGAATTAATCAATTTTGGGATTTTGAAATGTGTAGGCATTAGCTTTGTATGTTGGATTAACGTTACTGTCTTTTTCCAACGTAGCCAGCAGCCAGCTTCGGGTGTAGCCTATTCCCATCCAACCACAGTTGCTAGCTACACTGTGCACCAGGCTCCCGTTGCTGCGCACACTGTCACTGCAGCCTATGCTCCGGCAGCAGCCACGGTGGCCGTGGCCAGGCCTGCGCCGGTAGCTGTGGCAGCTGCTGCTACAGCTGCTGCCTACGGAGGATATCCCACAGCACACACAGCTACAGATTATGGATACACACAACGGCAGCAAGAAGCTCCACCGCCACCACCTCCTGTCACTACGCAGAATTACCAGGTAGGCTCCAAACAAATTGCCTTTGTTGTGTGATTTTTAAGTGATAGTTTAAAAGGAGAAAGCGTGTTTGGAAAAGAAAATGTGACTTTTGTGAAGCTACTGCTGTGCAGAATAGTACTGCCTTGTTTTGGCTAGCTCTGATGTTCAAGTGGTGCGCAGTAAATTGGGTCATGAAACTGATGTAGTTGAAAAGGCTGTACCAATACAAATTTTCAGTGGAGGTGGAAATAGTTCCTTTGTCAGATTCCTGGGTGCCATAGGAGTTCTAGTACCAAACCTGTGATGACAGACGATAGAAGATAAACTATCCTGTGGGTAGTTTTTGGGTACCCTCTGTGAGATCCCTGCCTGACCTCATGTTGATACAGGTTTCTGCAGAAGGGAGCTCTTTGTTCATTTTCATCTTGGATGTTGAAGTAGTATGTCTCTGTAATAATTTTTAAGCTTTTTAGTCCTATACTTAGCAAGGCATTGTCTGTATTCTAACTTGTATTTTGTTTTGTTTCTAAAGACTGTACCGCATGTTCTCAATTCTTTTGCACAGCTTCTGTAATTACACATGGTAATTATGAGGTCAGTTTTTAGATCCATTCGGACAGAGAAGAGAGTCTACTAAACTAAATAAAATCATTCCAGTTTACATAGGTTGGATGGGAAAAAAAAATATTTTATTATTATATTTCTTGGAATTAAAAAGAATTTTTATACATGAATGTATTTCAGCTCTAGTAGTTCATACCGTGCCACCCCTCAGTTAATCAACTGGTCATGCTTCACCATAAATAAAGTGAGGATGAGAGAATATATGTACATCTATATAGTGGTTTTCAGGTCATCCCCTGTTAAGCTTGCTAGGCATCTCCTAAGTGTTAAAGGTGTCAAATGGGCTCCTTGCCTTGCCCTTACAGACTAGTTACGGTTTCCAAATGGACTAGTTGATACACCAGAAAATAAAGAAGGCTTTAGAAGTATCACTTTCATACTCTAAAATATATAACCAAGAAAAATGTGAATAGTGATGGAATTTTTAAAGCCAGTATAGGCTGACGTTTTTAAACTTGTTGGCATTTGTAGAAATTCATATTTTCTTGGAGATCTGTGGTGGGTTTTTGCTTTTTTTGCTATTTTATGGGAACAGAATCTGATACATTCATTATTAAAAACTAGCGAGAGTAGATGCTTTTCAACAGTGAAAATATTTGGTATGGAAAATGATTTAATAGCATGAGGTTAATTCCTGTATGAAGTCTGCTAAAGACCAATAGGGTTGTTCCAGGCCTGAAGTATCTCAACTTGTAAGGGACCCGTAAGGATCATCAAATCCAGCTTCGCACACATGATGAGTTCCTTTTTCTGTGCCCAAGGCAGGAGAGCAGAGCCAGAAGGGCAAATTCAACGTGTCTGTGTGCCCAGGAACCCTCTAAATCTGTCCAGAAGAGGTGGCATTGAAGGCCCAGGGGGGCTGGGGCTACCAAAATAACCCAAACCACAAGAGATCCCCATCTCACCCTGTCAAGCGTGAAGTTGGCAGCAGCACAGGTGCTGGGGTTGATGCCAGTTTTCTCTGTGCTCACCCCCAGCTCCGGGGCTGAGTGCAGGATATCCTGCCTGCTCTCATGCCAGCTGTGGGGCAGGGAGAGAGGACAGCTGGTGGTCAGCACAACCTGCAGAGCTCAGGGGTGGGTGGCATCGCTGGCAGCCCAAGCTGTACTGGCTCACTCTCAACTGGATGAGCAGAGGCTGGCACAGCCCATCCTGGGATCACCAGCCTTGCTCTGCAGGGAATGAAGGTGGAGGAGACTCTTTCAGAGGCCTTCTGACCTCTCCTGAGACAGCCAAGAGGAACATTTAGAGGGCATAGCATGGGGGTTTCTCAGTCCTTTTTCCCAGGCACTGGTGGGCAGAGCATCAGGGAGAAGGCATCTGATTTCCCTTTGCTTGGCTTCCAGCTCCCCCTCCTCCACTCTTCCCACCAAAGGGGCTTGTTGGAGCAGCACAGCTCCCAGCTGATACTCCCTGCTCCATCCCATCCATTGGGCCCACGCACCTGTATACCTTGCACTGTGGGGCTAAAATACAGTACCTGTAAATGTAAATTTAATTTCTTTAATGCGTTTATTTGTATATGCTGTGTCTGTATTTTTGATTCTACTTTAGTAAGCCAGAAGAAAATACATTGTTTAGTTGACTCTGCTAATGATTTTTATTTCTCTAGATATATAGCTAAAGGTATCTATCAAAGTGTAGCTGTATAAAGGTATATATCTATATACCTAAAGGTGGTTTCTCATTTTTCAATTTTTAGGATTCATACTCTTATGTTCGATCTACTGCCCCAGCTGTAGCTTATGACAGTAAGCAATATTATCAGCAGCCACCGCAGCCGTGGCTGCTGCTGCCCAGCCTCAGCCTTCAGTAGCTGAATCCTACTACCAGACAGGTGGGTGGCATGATTCAAACTGCTCTCATTATTCACAGTCTGTCTGCTACTTTAATACCTTAAAAATAGTTCTTAGAATATTTTTCTTTTTACTTTTGTCATGTTAACTCGGCCAACATGTAGAAAAATTTTCTGCGCCTAGAACTTCAACATTATTGTGACGTTTCATTAAGTAGCTGCCTCTGAGGTTTGGATTGTTTGTAAATACATTCAAAACATACTTCTAGGCAAAGTTCTTACTGATTTTTCTAGAAAACTTCCTGAATGGATAGTCAGTGTTGGGTTCAGATGATAATTTAATTAGAAATACTCTTTTAATTCTTGAGTTACTTCATATATGTAATTTTTAAATTATTTGTATCATGACTGCTACAAAGCATGAGTCCTATTTAGTTGGGTTTTTTTACTTCAGTTAGAACTAAGAGGAAAGTTTAGGTGTCCTTAAATTCAGTGTGCTTTAGTAAAACCTCTGGTGAGAAGGTTGTTTAGAAACATGGTAGCCCAGTTAAAAATAAATAACTAAGTTTGAGGCTTAGCCGCGTGAGCTGTGACATGATTAAATTGTTGTGTGATACATGATATTCAGTGCATAACCATGACAAAACAACCTTATGCACAACACTATAAAACAAAACAAACAAAAAACCCAAAACAAACCCCCATTTTTTCACACATTTATTCCTGAGGATATTGTTAATGATCCCTTAATATGGTTTGCATTTCATTCAGCTAAAGCATATTAATGTTTGTACATGTTTATTTTCTGTCCTAATTAGCTCCGAAAGCAGGATATAGCCAAGGGGCAACTCAGTACACCCAAGCCCAGCAAACACGACAAGTGACAGCTATAAAACCTGCAACCCCAAGTCCAGCAACGACTACATTTTCCATATATCCAGTGTCCTCGACTGTGCAGCCAGTGGCAGGGGCCGCGACACTTGTTCTATTCT